TCATCACATATCACATGTACAGCATACTCACAGAAATGCATGAGGCAGGAGCCATCATTATGGTCATCACACTCGCAAAAATTCAGCTGGCTGCAACAAGATGCAAACCAAATTGGGGAAAATGAGTTTTCTTTAACTTCATTAGACCATGTAAATGAAATGCATCAGAATGTGCATTAGTTGTTGTTGTTGTACATCACATTCTTATAGCTTCACATAATCCACTATGTACTCCAAAGATCATATTTACCACTATTTTTTAAAAGATAAATATATACACTCACAATGAAAGGACTGCCGGGAACCATGACTCCTCCCCAAGCCACAGCAATGGTGTGTTTGGAGAGAGATGAAGGGATGTAGGAGCAGACAAAGACACCAGATTGCTCAGAGGCAACAATAACATCTATACACTCTCAATCTGCTCTCTGTGAAGATGTCAAATCACTCTGAAAATTAAAATTGCTTTTAATTAAAAATGTAAATAAAATATATATATATATATTTCACTGTATTAGCACCTGAGCATACACTTTAATTTCTCCTTCACTAGCTTGCCTAGCATCTACAGTGAATTCAGTTTGAAGGTTCACTATGCAGCCAGTTTGGGAAACACCTGGTCCTTCTACTTTCACCTGAAACCCAACATGCATAATTTATATAATTTCACATCTAATGAAAACATCTCATTTATATAAAATGAAGGGCTGGACACATGTCTGTATGATTAATAGGACAGGATATAGGAGTTTACCTGGTCAGGGTGGAAGTCTTTTCTCTAATGTCTGATGGCGGTCATGAAGGGACTGTCCTGGATTTCTTCATCATCACATATCACATGTACAGCATACTCACAGAAATGCATGAGGCAGGAGCCATCATTATGGTCATCACACTCGCAAAAATTCAGCTGGCAAACCCACAGTCCCTCCCTCTAATCCTGGTCCCCATGTCCGGATCTTCTGTGGTTCAGCTTTTGAACCAACATGGACTTTAAATGGGCTGTAATAGATGAATAAGAAACTTATTCTTTAAATTAAAATTAAATAATGTTTCTCTGCTAACATGTTGAATGAGAGCTAACCTCTTGGCAATGTGCTGACCAACCAAAGGGATGTCCACTGTGTGATCTCCTGCAGCAGTGGGTGTGTATTCACAGGTATATACACCTTCATGCGCGTCCTTCTGTGTGAAAGACACTTCCTTGTCACTTCCAGCAGCACCAACATTTTAGTTAGACCACAGAGGGGTTACACATCTTTATACAGATTATGGAGATTATTTGCTATTACCCACTGGGGTCTCTAATATTGACCTCCAGACTTCCAGGCCCAGCTTTGTGGGTGTCCACCTTAAACTGGGCCAGCTGACCTACTCTAACACACTTGGGCTGCAATCCTCTTCCTGTAGCATGACAGGCTTTGGGTTTAGGCACTGGAAACAAAATTTGAAAATGAGTTTTTAAACTATATGAGAGGGAGATACAAAAAAGAAAATCAAATTATACCCAAGGTTCTCAAGGTTGTATGTACACATTATGAAAACAACTGGATTTGGGTAACTGACACATAACATGCCAATTACAATCAATTACATGTCATAACAGCATCAAGGTGTTGACCGTAGGAATGAGGTCGCAGGTGCTGCTGATATTGAGCACAACTGCAGGTGTGATATTCCTGTTTTAACAATAAGAAGATAATATTGAGCAACTTACATTTTAGACAATATTTCTAGATACTTCCAAACAAAGCTAAAGCGGAATTTATTCCCATTCAAACCAAGAACAATAACTATTGCAATTAGGGTTGCAAAGGGGCGGAACATTTCTAGTGAATTTCCGAAAACTTTACAAAACATTTTCCAAAAAGTTTCCAAAAATCCTGAAATACGGAAATGTTCCTCCCCTTTGCAACCCTAACTGCAGTAACTATGTTAGCATCCACACAAATGGACTAATGTTCTGTTCATTATAAGTGCTGCAGTTTTGTCGTCTGCTACTTTAAATGCTTGAGCTCTTTAAAGTCAGGTGGATTTTGATTGGCTGTCAATGTTTTTTTATTCATTACAACAACAAAATTCTCATAGGATTAGAAAGATGATCAAAATGTTTCAGTTATAGTTTATATCATGCTTGGTGTGAATCGGTTTGAACACTATAGGTCTGAGCAAAACAAATTAGTAGCGTTTTGTTTTTGAATGAATCAGGATTTTAGAATGAATCCATTAAATGTATACTTTAATGATTCACTCATAACAACAAAGCCCATTTTTATCTCCTTCTGGCATATCAATGTAACCTGCAGAAAGTGTTCTCATCAACAAATGTTTGATTATCATGATGCATCTCTTCCCTCTTCATTATTAGTGACAAAATCAAAAGACTAAACTGCAGTGGCTTATAATGGGCCCGACCTTTCTTTGGCTTGAGTGGAGCTCCAGGTTTGAGTCTGGCTTTGGGTTCCCGTCCACTATGGCCTTACTGTCTGTATGGAGACAGTGAAGGTGTCTATTTGTTCTTTGAATTTGGAGACCATCTCTTGGTAACAAAGTTTTTTTTTTTTAATACACCAAATGCTTTTTGTCATTTTAGCTATTATATCCAAACAAGAGAGTTCAGCCAGGAACACTGTTCTGGTCCAGGAAACAGCTAATCGAAGTGCCGTCCCCAAATTTGACACTAGGACACTTTGACTCAAAGCCTGCCCTCCCTAATTAGAGAGAAAAAAACCCCCAGGAATTTATATGAAAACATGTGGGATCAGCAATTCAGTTCATTATCGGTGAAGACTAAGCTCAACATCTGATAATGTCTTTCTGAAGAAATGCTATTGCGTTTCAGACAACAGGCACAATTTACGTATTGATTTTGCAGCTGACCTTCTTTAAGAGACAAATAAAACTGTTAGTTATACATGTAGATACAATGAAGATGCTAATGACCAGTGTTATTTTTGTATTTTTTATATACTGTAGAGTTAATATTTTGAATTAGTTTTTATTTTTATATTTTAAGTTTTAATTTTTGTTTATCATTTTGTCAAAAAATGTTTTTTTTTTAAATATTTTTTTTTTCAGTAATTAGTAACTTATTTTATTTCAGTCACTTGAGAAAACAACTAATAGATTGTTGTGAACACCTTTTGAAAGAATTCAGGCAGGTTGTAACTCACCTATAGACACCAACTTCACTTTTTCATGATCCAAAAACTCCAGAGCCACCGAAACATTATCTAGCTTGAGCTGTCTGAAGGTGGGTCGCGTGTGGTACTTTCTAAATATCCTCTTATGGCTCAGGACCTCCAGCAGCGAGATAAGGATGAGGCCATCGCTCAGATTGAACTAAAGATCGCTGATCTGCAACTCCACAGACTTCAGCTGTTCGTTGCATCAGCGCGTGAAGGTGTTCTTCTGTATCTTCTTCAATGGTGCATCATCTGCCAGGTTGATTACAGCTGCAGTAACACGATCTTTAAAGTCACCCATGGTTCTCTTTGATCAGTGTGGAGTCCAAAACCTTTTTATAGAACTGCAATATAAGAGCTGTGAAGCATGAAGCTTTCATGTAGCTTCGCTGGTGGTGGGAGTGCCCTACACTCCCCAATCCTGGCCCATAATTATGATCATACAGCGCCTCTGAGAGCTGTTTTTACTCTGACATGAACGGTGTCATCATGCCGCAACCCCACATCGTGCAAAGGAATAATAAAAACAGATTCTAGTTACATCAGTGCTTGAAGAATGTATTTACTAGGAAGACGGGATCAGAAACGGGATCCTCAGGCCTGGGGAATTCAGCTAATTCCCACCTGCAGTCAGATGAAGGTCTGACATCACTGTTGCTGATAACCTTATCGCTGGTGACGTTACTCGTCATTTACTCCAGAATAAACTGGGCGTATTATTGCCAGAGCTCTTTTGATCGGGGCACGTCCTCATATTTCCCATGCGGTGTCGAGGAGGGATGACACATTGGGGCGGACTGCATTACACCATGGAAGTGTTTGCCTTTGGCTGCAGGTTTATGACAAACTTGGTTATGGAGCCATTGATTTTGCAGGGATGCATTTATGTGCCCAGATTTTGTTTTAATTAGTGTATACCGTAAATCGTAATACTTTACAAGGTTATTAGGGCTTGGTATTGATTTCCCAAACTGATTGATTGGATTCAGATTCACAAGCTCTTGATTTGATTAATTTCGGTTACACATGTCCACTTTGCTCTCATAGTCTCACAATAAGAAATATAAGGCAGTATTGCACTAAAAGAACTGCCTTAGATATTAATTTCTGGAATCAGACAACACTGGTCACTTTATGTTTTTTATTCACTAAAAAGAATGGTTCATAAGAGTCATTTGTTGTAAGAAAAAAGGCTAACACTAGTCGCACTCAGTGCAGCCAAGTCTGTGGTTTTCCTGCGGGTTGTTTTTTTTAGCCAGTGGTTTAAAGTGATCTCTCTTATCTTGCCATTTCGAAGGAGGGGACCCCCCACTGAGGGGAAAACCGCATTAAAAACGTGATTGGGCTAGTTCTCAATAGCAATTGGGCTGGTTTTGTTTCTCAGGCTGGCAACCCTGGGCACACTATGTTTTTGATTCACTGAAAAGAACCAACACATAAGAGACATCTGTTTGTGAATCAAACTACAGTGGTCAAATTGCAAATTGCAAGGCCAAATGAAGAAAAAGATATTTCTTGCTATAAAAAGGCCATGTACCATGAAATAACAGCAACAAATAATGTCTGTTACTGCATTACATGTAACTCAGTATCACAAAATATAATAGCTATTTCTGCGGTAATATGAACTAACACGAATAAACAATAAACACCAGTATATTTATAAATAAAATTAACCTACATTCGCATTTTACAGCATTTGTTATTTAATTGTATAAAATGGTAACAAATTGACCCTACTCTAAAGTTATCGAGATACAATTCAGCTGATATGCATAAATAAATGTATAAAAATTAAACAGGGACTTAATAGGGTTGAACTTCACTCTTGCTTATTTATTGCAATTATCATGTTTGTTAGATCAGGTAGGTTTTCCTTAAATCTCTGTACAAGTAATAAACATGATCAATCATAAACACTCTATTATAGGTCTCTTTCGGACACATTAGCACTCTAATGTCCTAGGTAAACAGTGATTATCATTATCATCATTAATATGTCAAATCCTTATCACAATAAAGTACAGTGCATAGACTAATCACTAATGGCTTCGTATAAGGTGCAAAGACACAAACACATTATTAGCAGATTTAGGCCTTTAAGCCGCAAAACATACGATCAAGTTAAAACTTAACGAACTTCGATGGTTATTACAGTGTGCTTTGCAGTTCTGAATCGGTTCTCATGGAAGAGTTTGTTTAGGGAGGTATAAACATTTGTTTATCTAAGGTTATGTTAAATAAGGCAATTCACTAAGTGTTTGTTTGGCAAAGCAACAGTGTTCAATAAAATACCTGTTATTAGTCAGATACTTCAAAATGCAATGCATACAGAATCTCAATAAATAAATAAAAATCTATTACATATGGTGCAAATGAGAGAATGTTGTGACATTATTATTCTAAGGCCTTCAATACTTGAGTAAGAAGTTGCATTTAAACACTCGTTACTCAAACTAACACCACACAGACTACAAGGATACAAATGTCAACAAGTCTGAGGAACATATACTTGGTATGCATGTCATGGTGCGTGTGTTTGTTACTGGTTCATCATGTTCATTTTGAGGTCTTTGAAAGCAAATACCCCGTCACGGCAATGGTCACAGCAGCGACGGGCATCCACCTGATCCATTTTCCCTGCAAGAACAAACATACAGATCACATCATCTGTAGTACCGCATCGCCTATCAGAACATGTTTACAATAAGGGATGCACATGAGCCAAGACGGGGACACAAAAGCCACAAGGACATGACGCGGAGAAACTGAGGTCAGGACACACAAGACGAGGACAGCAGAAGACGTATGGTGGAGGACAAAGAGAGCCGGGATGCCTCAGAGCTACGCTGGAAAACTACAACCTACAAAATGCATTTGATTCATTAGAAACACTTGTTAGTGAGCGTCTTATAATACAAAGCGGACCTGTAGTAGGAAAACAGAAGCATTTTGCGGACAGTATTTCTTAGCTTAAGCTGAGAGAATTGTTTAGTGGTCATGCATAGCCCTGAGGATGATAGATGCTTAAGCAGAGGAATGAGACGGGACAGGAGCACTGTGTACCTTTCTACCACAATGGGCCCAAGCACCAAAACAGCAAAGCCAGGACAAGGCCGATGGCTACGGCTAGGATGGGCTGCAATAAAGACAGCTAAAGGAGGGAAGGGAGGGATATTACTGAATGATTGGCTTGTGTTTATGTGCGCTATTACTGGACTGGTGAATTTAACTGTCATCAAGGTAAGGAAATCAAAAGGTGAAGTGTGCAATTGTTTCATAGTTGAAACTCTTCCCCTTTTCCAGTTTAATGTGCAGAGACAATGCAGATGTTTGATTAAACGTGACATGTCAAGTTAGGGCTCAACTGATGCTCACACACACACACACACACACACACACACACACAGTCTGTGTGTCCAGGGGCCAGGTCTTTTTTTCGGAGCAGAGCTCTTTTGTGACGTGCCTGCTAATGAGTCTCAGCTCTACGTTCTTTCTTTCTCAACTACGATGGGAATAACCTCTTTCTGCAATTCTTTGATCCTGCTATTGCTTTGCTCCAGCTGGCTGGTGGCTCTCTGGTGTTCCTCCTGCAGGACACTCAGCCGTTTTTCCAGGTCTACCTGCGTCTTCTCCAGGGTCTTGAGCATGTTGCTCAGGCTTGTGTTCTGTTTCTTGGAGCTGTGGGCAGAATGCAGGTTCAGATTCCAGAGAAATTACATCGTCATTACATCAAAAGTCTGCAAAAAGAGCTATAGTAGGTAAAATGTAGGGCTGGGTATTGATACATTTCATGATTTGATTAAATTCTTCATATCTGTTTTGATTCCGTTCTTGATTTGGTTCAAGTCGAAGCCAAATTCAATTGCTATTTATTTTTAGATGAAATAATCAACAGTCAAATAAAAACTAGATTTCATATAAACATTTAAATTGCACACAAGGCAGTTTTTATATAAACTTTTTAATGATATGACTGTTTCTACTCCAATTTGTTAAAATACAAACATTTAAACAGTGGCTTTTTTCCCCCCCATGACAGATTTATCCAAACACAAATTGCTAAAGTGTTTCATGACACTACATTAAAGAGCATCAAAACGACTTATTATTATTTAATTATTGTGGTACAACTGACAGAATTTAAGAGCTGAACTTTGTTTTATATTAAAAGTAAAGTGCAAAGCTTATTGAGATCATTGGATAGGAGGCAGCTTAAACTAAAAGGCTGAATGGTTAATCAAAATGAGAACCCAGCCATAGTGAAGTGTCATTTTTTTCATGTTTAAAAACTTTCTCCTATCCCATTTTAATATCTGATGAGAAGTAAGCCTATACAAATATTTCAACCAAAAATGAATATTCTGACATTCTTCACTCCTCCTCAACCTGTATGTTATTTTTTCCCATGCAACAAAAATTGCATTTTTCATGTTTCAAACAAACAAACAAAAAAAGCACAAAAAAAGTAGTCATGATAAGTCATGGGGTTAATGACTTCAACCATGCAGTTATTTTTGTAGTGCAACCCTAAGACATGTCACACATCAACCTGAGGGTGAGTAAATAGACAGAATTATCATTTTTGGGTGAACGATCCCTTTCATTTCCCTAAGAAGTTTAATCATTGTGGCTCTACAAAAATGTGTGTCTTTGAACATGTCAACACTGACTCAACTAACACTCACTGAGTTTAGAGTGGGAATCTGTTTGAACAGTCGATTTTAAAACAGTTTGTAATTACATGTGGTGCTTTCAGTGGCATGGAAATGACACTGTATATGATACCGCATAGGACAGACCTGTCCAGCTCTTTCTCCAGCTGCTGCTGTTTCTTCAGCAGCTGTTCTTTCTCTGAGCGCAGGGTGCTGCTCTCACTCTGCAGGCTGATCTTCTCTTTCTGCTGTTTATCAGCCAGCTGCTCTCTCTCTGACCTCAGAGATGCACACTCCCTCCTCACACTCTCACAGTCCTTCTGCAGCCGCTCCAGCTCGCTTGCTGCATCACACACACAATTAAAAACATACCCAAAGACATACACACAAACGCACAAACACACACACACACTGACTCACAACGCTACTCTGTTACATAACGGTGGAAGTGATGTGAGAAATGCGAGTCATCTTCTGAATATCTATCGGATCACTGCAAACACTGCTGTGATTGTTGTTGGATGAACCTAGGGCTTGATTTGTAACCTCCACCAACACATTATATCATTCATCATTCTGAGAAGGGAGGACAAATTCCCCAAAAAGATTATGAATGTGCAGAAGACATAAAATAACCTTAATTTAACTGGTACAAAATACAGACATTTTGCCTGATGAGGCTGTGTTTTTTATTAATTATTTCTTTTCTTTTTTTCCAGTGAAATCTTTTTTTTTCTGATTCATCTTAATCCTGGTAAAAATAATACTTTCAACATTATGATAATAATTCAAACATTATTGGGTAATCATCATCATTATTATTATTATTATTATTATTAAAAGCTCAAATTTGATATTGAATTGAAGTTGACAATTCTTATTTTTAATTTGGAAAGTACAGTTGTTATTATTACCATCAATATTATCAAAAGCACAGAAAACTGATTTGTTAATGCTAATTTGAAAACATTTTTTAATGTATGGTTATATTATTATTATTATTATTATTATTATGATTATGATGAAGATGATGATGGTGGTGATGAGGATTATTAATAATTATTAAATCGAATATTCATATTAATGTGGAAGCGTAAATATAGATGAATTTGCATTTAGGTTTAGCACAATACATGGATGAGAAATGTTGATGTTCTCACATGATTTCATGATTTAAGACGTAGCCTTAAAATAATATAGGCCAATCCAATCATCTGTGAGGATAGTGGTCTGTGGGGTTGTGGGTACCTTGCTGTTTGGCAGCTCTGTCTCTCTGCTGGTTCTGCTGCTGGTGACTAGCCTGTACACCGTCAAGCTCACACTCGTACTTGTTTGCAGCCAACTGCCATTTCTCCAGCTCGGAAGTTAGCGTTGCTAGGTTCCCCTTCAGCGCATTGACCTCATGCTCTCGCTCAGCTGCCGTTTTCGCCATAGTGCGGCGCAACACCTGCACATCCTCCTCAGCTGCGTGCGCTTCCTGACGCAAGCTGAAGATTGTGCTGTCCTTCTGATCCCTGAGATCCTCCATATTTTCCTGCAGCTTCTGGAGCTGAGCTGAATGCACATGTAGACACAAAGACCATTTGGTATAATACATTGTTTAGTAAATATAACAAGATAGACACACCCTCCTTGACTTACTCTGTAAGACCTTTATCTGTTTTGCTGACTCTTCCGCCTGCTGCTTATTGCCTCTTTTCTCCTCCTCCAACAGATCTGTAATACACAGCACAAGTCATTAGGGGGACCTGTTGAGCATGACTGCCATTCCAAATAAATTTAAAATGTTCACAAGCTTATATAAATATCCATAATAATTAATAATTCCAAATAATATTAATAATAATAATATTTAATTGTTAATATGAAATCTTTATAATTTTTTAATAGCGATTATTATAAACAAATAAAATAATAATGCATTTTATATAAATAAAAATATATACAGCATAGTTGGGCAAAGGTGAGCACTGATCTAGAATCTGTATTTGTCGCTCATATTTAAATTCTAATTCATATTCAAATGAGAGTAATTTTTGTGCACTTAGGGCAACTGAACACCCTGAAGTTTCAAAATCATTCTGATGGCTCACTTCTAATAAGGCGAATGGCTTCCGTTTCTTTCCCACGCTCCCCCTTAAACGTCTGTTCTGATAGTACGTAAGTTTAGTGAAAGGGCGGATTGCTTTACGGCAGCAATAAATGCACGAGTACAGCTATCCACTGTAATTCAACAAAGATGTGTTTACAACAGTGAATTCCACTCTCTCAAAGTCACAAAAATACACACAACTACGTAGAGTTGCTTTAAAGGCCCTCTTTTACCTTGGAGTTCAATACACTTGTGTTTGCCCGAATTGGCCTGTTCATTGGCCTCCTGCAGTTCCTGGTTCAACCGCTGGATGACCTTCTCATACTCACTGGCCTCCACAGTGCTCCTGCTCAGCTCATCTGGAGAAATGATTACACATCCACCGCTGATGACATCTAATGGGAACTATTACATGCATAATTAGACACTATTATGGCGCTCTGCTGTCAGAGAATCACTCTTTCATCAACAGTTAATGGGTGATCTGTGTCTTTATCTCTGTATCAGCATCAATAAGTTGCATTTCAACTTTGCCGGATTGTTCTGCCCTTTGACAAAGTGCAAACCCTGTCCAAAGGTTAATTAAGTCAGAATGAATCGCATGGTAATTTCCCTGGAGGTCAGAAAATGGGCCTATTCCATGAATTAATAACTTGACTTAGAATAGATCTATCCTAAAAGCATAATGTCATCAGTAGGATTTAAACTGGGATCTGCAAGAAGGATTGCTGGGGTTTTAATAAAGCTGCCATTTGACTAAAAAGTTTTAAAGGGGTCCTATTATGCTCTTTTACAATGTCTTGAATTTGTTTTGGGGGTGTACTAGAACATGCTCTCATGCTTGGTGGTTCAAAAAAACTATTATTTTTTACATAATTTACATTATTACGATACCTTTCTCCCCATCCTGGCACAAACGGCTCGATTAGTTCCGGGTTTGATGAAGGCCCGCCTTCCGAAAAACGAAATGTGATGTGATTGGTTAGCTGTCCCAGTGCGTTGTGATTGGCGAACAGCTTAGACGGTGTTTCAGTACTGCCCCGCCCCTTGCCAAAGCAGCAAGTTTCCATCTGCTCCGGTTTAGTTATTATATTTAGTCAATATTACCATACCAATTTGAGCCGGATTCAGACCCAGAGAATATTGAACAAGAGGATCGCGCAGAACCTTTGCACGCACGGATATTGCAAGACATATTAGAGTGGTAACTAGGGATGCACCGAATGTTCGGCAACCGAAATTATTCAGAGAGCTTTTTTTTTGTGCTATTTTCGGCCGCCGAACATTCGGTTCATCTCTAGTTACCACTCTAATAAGTGAAAAGACCGAATAAATTCATCGTCGTCTTGTCTGATGCACTCAACCAAGTGTTCTGACCATGACCTCGCCCCCCCCAAACCATTCATATTTCTGTATGCGGGAATTATTTTAATGATATTCTAATGGGCCGCTTTGTGATATCACAAAACCCGGAAATCAAACGCTGTAGTCCAAACGAGCCATTCGTTGTAGTTCTCGAAAAGGGATTTTTAAAAAACAAAATATCTCCCTTTGGAGTGGACTTTGAGATTTGTAAGTTTGAAGATCTTTTTTATGCCCAAACGCACACACTACACACTGACTAAAATTCAAAAAGTGAAAAAGCATAATAGGACCCCTTTAAAGTTCTAATGTATTACAGTGCCATTTCATAATGAATCGGAAAAGTTTTCAAACTGCTATAAAACATTAATGAAGATTTTCAACTGATGCATTGCTCTGCAAATGTCACGTTTACTGGCTGCAATTTAGCTAGTTTGCCTAAACTTAGAAACAAACCTGCTCCTCTTCCTCTAAATATGGGTTGCTGAAAACCAGGCCATCTTATCAAATGTTCCAGAAAGATATGACCTCATCTTATAAACTCAAGGGTGTATACCATACATGGCCATATCAAGGACATATCATTGCAATCAGAGAGATGTAATTCCAGAAAATGTAACTTCACATGCCAAAGCGTGACTAAGCTAAAATACCGAAGCCTGTGTAGGCCAAACACAACTGCCAGAGCACAGAGGACGGAGGCATTAACATTTCATGAGGTATTGCGGTGGGCAATGTTCATCGATGCCATTCTACATCAAGAACTCAATCTCTCAGCAGGGTACGAGGACACATAGGAACGCTCTGGCCTAATTTACTTTTGAGTCTGTGGAGGAGAAAGATAGACATACCGACAGAAAGACAAAGTCAGACGGACATAATTTCCTCCACGATTAAAGTATTAGCACAGACTAGAAAACCGTTCCAGCCAAAACCATTCCATTGCAACCAATGGCAAGAAAATTCCACCATGCATGATTAAATTGGGCATAGTAAAATGATTTTTGCAAAACTACTTGTTCGGAACAAAAGGTTTTATTCATTGCACTGAACTACTGAAGAGCACTGCAAAACATAGTTATAGCCATATAAAACGCATATCTTACAGAAATGTCACTTACACTAAATTTGAATACATTTTATTCCCCTCTCTATCTGTCTTTTTTCCATGTTAAAAATGCATAATAAAAATAATTAATGCAATATTAAAAAAAAAATAATCACAAAGATTTAATCAAATTCTGCTCAAAAATAACTGAATTGACAGTCAATCTATATTTTAGCCCCACAGTACTTTGACATACTGCAAGTAAATTAAAAAAAGAATATAAAAAAAACAAGGTTTATTATCCTATAAATTATTGCCTAATGGAACAGTAAAGCACTATAGTTTGGTTCGAAACACTTCAGAAACTACAGAAACTCAAGTGCAGTAATGTGACTTTACCTTTGATCAGAGACACTTTATTAACAGGATCTTTCAGCTTCTGTTCCTCCATTGTTCCCCCCGCTGTAACAGAGCACGGGATGTCAATATGTTAATGTTACTGTAAAATATTAACTTAGCTATTTAAAAAAAAAAAATCTCAGCAATTGGCTTAAATAGTAAAGGCATTAATTACACATTTCCAGGTGATGCCAATTATAACTCAGCTAGTTAATGAGGCGGAAAACGAAAATAATCAGTTTTCCAAAATGGCAACAGATTTGTAATGACAAACACAAGTCTTCGAGGCATTAATTACACATTTCCAGGTGATGCCAATTATAACTCAGCTAGTTAATGAGGCGGAAAACGAAAATAATCACAGTTTTCCAAAATGGCAACAGATTTGTAATGACAAACACAAGTCTTCATCTTTTCCAGTTTTAAACGTCAAATTATAGCTCACATTCAAAGCATAACGTCATGCCAGTTATGTAATACAGCTTAGCGTCGTTGTATCAATTAAGAGGATTACTCATCACCTTCGCTTCGCTTCACTTCAGTCTGAGGACTATAAACAGACGCCGTTACCTGAAGACTCGCGATGTCACGTTAGCCCGTGCCGAAACAGAGCCGCAGTATTCAGGCTTCTTTAACGATCGATTCCGGTGATGAGAACTGGACGAGTCCATTCTGAAGCGCGGGGGGGGGGCACCGACGCATCGACATATCTTGTCTGGGGGTTCACCTGACAAAACCAGGCAGTAAAACGCTTGGGTGGAAAAAGACTACGATATAGAAGCGCTGCTAAAGTATATTGTACTCTGAGGGGTCGTTTTCTTTGTGGAAATTGTTTGCATGCGTCGTCATTTGACGCCCCCCTGGTGGTGATGGTCTGGAGGTCTCGCTCACATCATGGGCGCTCAAGAGTCCTGAGGCATCTAAAGAGGCTGCAGCTGCATAGTAGAATACACTCAGGCCCATTGTTTCCCACATTAGGGCGTCTCTTATGTAAAAACGGTTGACAATAGTGGTCGTTCGTGCTTGTATCAATGCCAAATGCCAACCAAAGCACTGTGATTTCATAAATTATATTATTGCGTGTCAAGATGTCGATCACGTGACACGTCAAAGAGCTCCGATCATTTGAAGATGGCTAGTTTATAGTAAACATGCAAAATACACCGCTGATCCTCAACAAATACATGCATTTCTTGCTAGCAGTGGTTTATAGTCACAAGTTTATTTAATATTTTAGAGGGTATCCAAATGTAAACAACCCTGATTTTGAGTGCTAGGGGAAAAGGATGAAGTTATTATTTTGAATTAATCTCTTCCACATGTTTCACATATGTCTGGGTGCTTCTGCTTCCATTTTCTCAGATAACTGTAGTAGATTGGCTATTGAATGATCTGGATCAACACCAAATTTAAAAAAGTGTGTGACCTTATTATATTATTTATAAATATTTATAAATCTAGCATTTAAGGCTACAGAATGGTTTCAAATCTATTGAACTGTCAGTAAAAATATAGATGGATGGATGGATGGATAGATGGATGGATGGATGGATGGATAGATAGGAAGTCTCACATTATTTTAACAAAACTTTTATTCTTGAATCTTCACATAAATTACATATTGCTATTTACCTACCTTATAGAAAATCTGTGCAATCTTGTTGCGCATTTTGCATAATTTATCTGAACCGAACATTAGATGTACACTCTATAGCTACATATAATTTCACATTAGACATATGCATTGCATTTCTAGTGCCATCCCTTTAAATCTCTTTATGAAATAATTATGTTTTCTCCTTCAGGCTGACTTATGCTGACTAATCTTTGCAAAGCAACTGATATGGATATGGAGTTTGCCATCCTCAGATGAAGACTGAAAGGGTTTGTATGGATCTTTCCTTTGTTGTCATGGCGACAGAGCAAACCTGTCTCATTCATTGTTCTTGCCCACGTAAGTGCTGACTGCACAAGAGAAAAATCAGATCACCAGTGGAGAATATCACTCACCTTGAAGTGACCTTGTCCAGTGCCATCACTATAACCTTGAATCCTTGAAAGGGATGAGTCATGGTCATAAATCCCTGAGATATACGCATGTGGAGCTTGTAATAATAACAAAATAATCTAAGATTTGCATCTAAAAATGGGTCTCAGGTGCCTGAATAATTCAGTGTTTTGTAGGCTAGATTAAGATTAGACAATTTCTCTATCGTTTCCATTCTCTTTTATCCACTCTAATACTTACACTGAATATTTTTATATTCAATATTACATAAGTGAAGTTTTTTTAGCATGTAATAAGGTGGTGTGTTTACAGTACATACATGCCCAGCCAGCACATAACCGACCTTAAACCCTGATGAATGTTAGTTGCTGTTTCAATGTTGAAAACAAATGGAAACAACATTTAATGCATACTGGTTTTAAAAAGGTTAACGAAATACTTATAAATCAATGTTGAAATTTGAACAAGATTTATACGTTGAATCAACATACAAAAGAAATACCTTTTTAATTATTATAATGATAATTATTATCTTACTATATTTTGATCATAAGGCTTCTTCAAAAATCAAATTTTCATCATTATTAATAGGGATCTACAGCCTTTGCCCAAATGCAGATGAAAGTGAAGTGTTGGGGTTTATTTTGTGATAATGACCTGATTGTACATGATCCCAATTATTACACTGCTACTGCCAAAAAAGTGGACATGATGAAATATTGATTTGAGAATTATTTTATAATTTTATCTTTATATTATCTTGATGCTTCCACTGACAAAAATGGTCCAATACAATGTACAAAATAATCAGCCTAGCAACAAGACAAACACTTCAACAACAGTAATATTAATACTATCGTCCTCTGAGGTCATTTTCACTACAGTTTATAATTGAATAGTTGTGTTCGTATGTAACAAGAGTTTGCTGAGTGATATGAGAAATATAATAGTAGCCATGGACGACGTATTGACCAATCAGAGTATACCAGAGCGCCGTGGAATAAAAGTAAATAATTAAGGAATAAATCATTAGAAAGTAGCACTCAGCCATGACTAAACCAACACAATATTGTTTGTATATGCATCACAAAGCCAGACTAAAGCCAGCTGTGAGGCTTTTAGACCCTGCAGGAAAACACACGCTGGTGCTGTGAGAGTCAGAGATGCAGAAAGTAGTGCATGTGTGAGTAAAGTTCGTTTCGAAGGCAGACAGGTAAACTGTCCCGTTAAGAGGGCAGCACTGCAGGCTCCTGCTGAGAAGTGTGAGAGGAGAGCAGATGGCAGAAAGGGCAGGAAAAAATCAGACAGAAGGGGGTTGCTGCTTTTTCACCACAAAAAATAGGGCCGTAGCAGACAGCCAGCATGAGGTGGGCTCGAAAGACAGCGGTGATCCCTACAGCAGCAGTCTGCGTGGCCACGACCACTAAGATTACCGTATTAGAGAACAATACAGAAAAGGCATGCAACATTTTTCTACCATTGAAGATATAAAGTATGATGCACTGTTTTGATCTGATCACTGTTTATTGTTCAGACTGAATTGACGATGTTCAGGAAACTTCTTGTGCACTTCACACAGGTAAACTGTCCCGTTAAGAGGGCAGCACTGCAGGCTCCTGCTGAGAAGTGTGAGAGGAGAGCAGATGGCAGAAAGGGCAGGAAAAAATCAGACAGAAGGGGGTTGCTGCTTTTTCACCACAAAAAATAGGGCCGTAGCAGACAGCCAGCATGAGGTGGGCTCGAAAGACAGCGGTGATCCCTACAGCAGCAGTCTGCGTGGCCACGACCACTAAGATTACCGTATTAGAGAACAATACAGAAAAGGCATGCAACAGTTTTGATCTGATCACTGTTTATTGTTCAGACTGAATTGACGATGTTCAGGAAACTTCTTGTGCACTTCAGTGTGTACGACCATCATTCAAATCAACACATTACACATTGCTACCTCCAATATCAGACGTGCCATGGTAGAGGTTTATCTCTAGTCATTGTCATGCTGCAGGTTATTGTGATAATGAGTTACTGATGTTATAATTGTAGATATAGAGGTATACTGATTATGATACTGAGGGTATTAAACACTTACATGAATAATTGTACAGCATTCCTTCAGCATTACCTCACTATAGTTATACTGTCTGTACTATAAATTCTCAAGGGGTGCTAAATTCATCTATTAGTCCTAATATATTCCACCTGAAAAGGGACGGCATAGCAATTATGAGATCATATAAAAAAAATTCTGTGCAATATATCGGTTTCCGAAGCTTTAAAAAAGTATTTTTTCTTGCTATACGCTTTATGCACTTAATATTTATAGATTTGAAGGTGCTTAATACCGGAAGTTTGTTAATTACTAAAACAGCAGTTGAATCTAGATTTATATGAATATCTAGCTGATCATTTAAAGCCAATGAGTATATTTATGGAATTCCTGAATCGACATTGTATAGTTCTGGAATACATAAATAGTATTAAGCACTGTACATTTTATGGTTTGTTTTGTATGTTTCGTATTCACATTATTACTGTCAAGTTACCAATCAACGCTGACAAACAGTTTTGCACCACTTTGGCAGTCATAAAACAGTTCTTGTAATTGGCAGATCAGTCTGCAGACTCCATTCCAGATGAATGAGATGGTGATTTATGAAGTACTGTAAATAGAAAAAACCCAGAAGACTTCCATATCAGGCCACAGTCATTTCTGTTTCACAGTCTTTTCTCTTCAGCCACCACCACATTGTCAATTTGTATATTTCTAACCACATTACTTGTCTCCAGTCAGAGAAGTGCTTTGAAAAGTCTGCCATAATGGTGGTCTATTAAAAGGCAATCTCACATTTATTTGTCCCCATTTCATAGGCTTCCCAGTCCTGGTCCTGGAAAGCCGTGATCTGTCCAGGCTTGGCTCCAGCCTGGGTTTTAACAACTGATTGATCAGGTAATCTCATCCTCTGACTGTAAGAAGTTAGGTTAAGACAGTGATAAAGAGAGGATGTAGTGTCAGACAGGAGGAAGACCAAGAGGACAACGCAGCCATCCAGAATCAGAACTAGCAATCCTTTCCATGCTGGTCTTTTGCTGGTTTTACAGCACTGTCGTCGCTCCTCACACGCTGTTCTTGTCTGGGAGCTCGGCCTCGGGGGTGCGGGGGAAGTAGACGGTGGTCTTGTGCTCTTCATAACGATCAATGTGCTTGAGGTGGACGACCATGTGCAGGGCGTAGGCCAACACCAGCAGCAGAATTAGAGAGGTGATCAGGCCCATCAAGATTGCTGGAGTGAAGAAGGTTGCACAGTCGCTTGCTGAAGCAAACTTGTTGGACTGGACATTAAAAGCCTGGATCTGGGGGAAAAGAAATAGAAAATAAATGTTTTCTGTCCGAGATACTGTAGTTAAAAATATAAAATACATTTCTTTCAATTAATTGCTGTAGCTGAGGCAGTAAAGCATGGAACTGAAAAAGTGTTTACCTTGAATGCAATGTAAGTCACTTTAGATAAAAACATCTGCCAAATGCATAACGCATTTCAGGATAAATAGCAGCTGGCAAATATCAATGACAATTATGCTTAATAAATCGAGAGAATAGGAAATCGTGATCATGATTAAAATACACTGAATTGACTTGATCTGAATAATGACACTATTGTTTTTTAGAGCTGCTTTACAGCAGAATATGAACTGCCTCCATAGTTCAGTTTCCATAATTGATTCTACTATTTTCCTGTTCCCTCTGCTTTGACACATTCTGAACTGTATGAAGTGTTATAATAGAAATAAGGGTGACTTGATTAATAAATAAATGTAAATTTTATTGGGTACTTAAACATGAACTAGACCCGTGTATGTTGACTGATGTATAAGAAATGTCTTGAAATATATATTTATTTTTAAATATAATTTATCATATTTAATTTGTCTTTTTTTTTAAATTCCATTTAGTTTTGGCTTCCTGGGTTGTATGATTGAGAGTCCTTACACAGAAAGGACAATCTGATTTGCTGTCAACACATCTTGCTGGGGTTTTTTTAATCTTTTTTTTCCATGCCATGTCAAATTAATTGTTGACTTGATCTGAATAATGACACTATTGTTTTTTAGAGCTGCTTTACAGCAGAATATGAACTGCCTCCATAGTTCAGTTTCCATAATTGATTCTACTATTTTCCTGTTCCCTCTGCTTTGACACATTCTGAACTGTATGAAGTGTTATAATAGAAATAAGGGTGACTTGATTAATAAATAAATGTAAATTTTATTGGGTACTTAAACATGAACTAGACCCGTGTATGTTGACTGATGTATAAGAAATGTCTTGAAATATATATTTATTTTTAAATATAATTTATCATATTTAATTTTTGTCTTTTTTTTTTTTATTCCATTTAGTTTTGGCTTCCTGGGTTGTATGATTGAGAGTCCTTACACAGAAAGGACAATCTGATTTGCTGTCAACACATCTTGCTGGGGTTTTTTTAATCTTTTTTTTCCATGCCATGTCAAATTAATTTCAACAATGCTATGTGAGCACAGTTATACACTCTTAAAAATAAAAGTTTTCAAAGCGATGGCATAGAATAACCAATTTTGATACCAGTGATGGTTTTTCATGGAACCATTTTTTTTTAGCATTTACTATAAATATATTCAAAGTAATTTTCAAATAAGTAATACTGAACTTTAGTAAACTTCTGATAACACTCAAGCACATTTTGTGGCAGCTACCTGAAAATCTGTGAATGTGATGTGCCAGTTTGCCGAGCTGTCAGTGTGGGAGCTGGGTACCAATAGGGTGTCATATTTCTGTAAGCTGCTGACATGCTGGCAGTGGTAAGAATAGGTGGCAGGGGCATAGACCTCCGTGGCATTGAACGTGGCCTCATGAGTCCAGTTGTAGTGGATGTGAACGCTGTCCAGAGTGAACCAGTTCTGGCCTACTGATTCATAATATGTGTTGGACATCTGAAGCCTTCAGAAAACAGACAAGAGGAAGTAATTAACAACTGAATGTAATTATCAGTCAGTGAGGTTTTGTGCAAGCATCTGACGGGTACGTCGAGAAGATAAAGAGTGTTTACCTGATAACAAGTCCCCTGATGTCTTCCACATCACCCAAATGTAAAGACAGCCTATAAAAATGTAAGACTCTCATCAGTACAACAACAAAAAAAACTATATATACATGCATAAACCACCAAATTGTTGCGATTTTATTATGTTTTTGAAAGAAGTTTCTTATGCTCACCAAGGTTGCATTTATTTGATCAAAAATACAGTAAAAAAAATATTATGAATATTATTATAATTTAAAATAAGTTTTAAATATTAAAATGTAATTTTAACATTGAAAACAGTTATACTATATTACCATTTTTATGTAATATTTGAGTGGAAATGTGTTAAAGTTCAAAAGAACAGCATTTATTTGAAATATAGTATATTTTGTAACATAAATGTCTTTGTCACTTTTGATCAATGTAATGCATCCTTGCGGATTAAAAATATGAATTTCTTTTTAAAAATATGGAATTGAGTGTTCAAATACTTAAACTTTTTGTTTTAACAATACAGCTTCTGTTTTATTATTTTCAGAAATCAAAAATATATATTTTTTCTCTTAAATAAATACCACTTGGTTCAATATTTAGTTTAATACTTTGTTATAAAACTAAAATCTATTTTAATATATAACATAATGGCTAAGTGTCCAAATACTTTTTGGGGCCACTGTATAAAATTCAAAATCTACAAATATATAATCATTAACTTAAAACTATACTATTCTAACTAGTAAATAAGACAGCTGCAATACATACATGATACTGAATTTATGGCAGGAAGAATTTTTTACACATACGTGGCCTTCTCCTTTGTACAAACAGAGCCTTTGGTGTCTACTTGTGCACTGGGTCCAAATACCCTCTCTGTGAGGTCCAGGAAAGTGTTGTTTCTGTATCGAATAGCCAGTCTCTTCGCTTTGAAAAGGATGCATATCTTGCCGTTGTAAGCTACAGTCAGTGGGGAGTAGGGTCCAGAGCTGATAGACTGTAGTAACTTCCGCTTGGTTCTGGGCTGGGCATGCAGGTGCCATCCAAAAGGCTGTTTGAAAATGATAACAGGAAAAACTGGGCAACGATGTATGGAACAAGTGCATTATTGATGGGTTTTACAGAAGAAAACACTCAGGGTTCAGACAGTAGATATGACAGATATTCCCTGGCCCACAAATGCTTTTTTCCTCATAATACGCTATTTTTAAAACTGTCACTGTGTTATGGGTCTTGTAGGATGCTGGATGAATTAAGGCAGAGAGGTTGCTTACGGAAGCCAAGGTCACATTGACTATCAGGGAAAATGCAATACCTGCAGTATTCTTCTGAGTGGATTTTCAGCTGCAGGCGAATAACTCTCCTCGTGTGAGGCACTTGGACTCTCAACATGTTCTTCATCTGCATCACAAAATGTTGAAATAGGACAATGGGGGAGATGGCTTGGTGAGTTCTTTCAGCACAGTAAATCGCTGCTTTACTTTTAAGCACATAAAGTGAATATACTAGAATAAATAGCTTTCATTTCTGCAGTATGAAAGTGAAATTCAAAAAGACAAATAAAAATCTAGAAATACAACTTATAGAATGTTACAATCAGTGCAATATAAAATATAACCACAATGGTATAGTTTAATTCAGTTTGAGATTAAATAATATTCAATTTGCATTAGCTTTTGATAAACTTTTAAATAAAGCCTCAGTTTTTAATCTCCCATGATACAACAGTAAGTATCAGTTTGATTGGTGGTGGGGATTTTTCAGTGACTCTTTCAGCAGGTTGTGAATTGAAGTGATTCATTTAGGCATTTTCAGACAACTGATTCGTTAAAAAATACTGTTTTTAGTGAGTGAGTCATTGAATTGTTCACTCAACCGATTTGTTCAAAACACATTTAGGAACAAACTACACTGCTGTGTGTTATTTAATGACATGTAATGTTTGAGTCTGCTGTGGCTTTGTTTCGAACCATTTTCGCTGGTGGAGCAAAAATAATTCACTTAAAATACAATGTCTAAACTGTAAGTTCCCTTATGGAAAAAGTCTTGTTTATTGAAATGTAGCACAAAACTGTTTAATTCAACCTGGCGTCATACACAATTCTCAACGTAATGCAAATAAATAAATAAACACAAGTATGACCATATACTGTACTGTTATGCACAAAAATGAGCCAGCAGAAAATGATATTATTACATTTAAAAGAAGCTGGAAAGGTAAACAAATAATGCAAGCAAACCCAAAAAGCATAACTGCCATTAAAGTAATAGATACTGACCTGTTCTAATTCTCACAGCTTGATATGGTGGGACCTCCGAGCTGTAATGGAAAAACAAAGCAAAACAAAAAGGGGGGTTGATCTCTTTATGTCAGGCTGTGGCCTACTTATCAACATCTAAGACAGATTTCCCATAGATCCACTCATCTTGATGAAGCAGTGATGCATGACCACAAGTCTGACATCTTCAGTCCAGATTAGTGTCTCAAGAGAAGACAAGACATTTAGTCGAATGCCATGATTCTCACGTGCTTAGCACCTTGAGCCCATCAACAAAGTGGGGGCTGAAAAAGACTTAATGGCACCTTGCGTGTATGTACGCACATGTATATTTATCTCGTGCCACCTCATCCCTCACGCTTGAACTTGCAGGATTATCCTAAGATGGATCATTTATACGTCTAATCACAGAGATAATGAGCTTGCGGACGATCTCCTAAAACCTTATTAACAATCTGCTGGCCTATCTGAGAGAAGGTTTCCTGCTGTGCG